CAAGCGGGATTGGCCTAGGGAATTTTAGTGGGGTTTTTAAGGGTAATTTTAACGACTAGGCCTTTACAAATATTTTCTTTTAATCTGGTTTTAATATTGATATTTGTTGTAATGTTGTTTTATAAGGCTGTCAGCCGCCCTGAGTCCGGTGAGGAGAAGGGCGGGATACAAATCAAATAAATAAATAAATAAAATAAATAATTGTTCTGTCAGGAAATTTCTCCTTAGTTCTAGGTTGCTTTTCTCTTTGGTTAGTTTCCATCCATTGCTTCTTGTCTTGCCTTCAGGTACTTTGGAGAATATTTATTACTACATAAGCAAGGTATAATTCTGAGGCATCTGATGAAATATATTGTGATGCAAGAATAAATGCATTAACTTTAAAATGTCATAATACTTTTGATTCTTTTTTAATAGTTTTCCAGCACATTAGTATCCATGGTTATTAGGTTGCTTACTCTCATGCTTTCTTTAAGAATAACAATGGCAACTCTTAAGCATGTGTAGCTGAGAGGTTAATTTTTCTCCCCCAGAACCGTTTTATTTCCAAAATTCCTCTCACTCATCAACACAATCATCTTGTATGTTTTCTTTTTAAAAAACACTCCATTGGCTCTGCAGTTGGTCTCTTGATTGTGATTACATAGCTGAATGGTCAAAAGATTCTCCTTCACACTTTGCATCCACTTTATTCCTCTCTTGACATTGAAGTGACTTCAATATTGTATCATAAATGTCATTTTCCTCCTCCCTGAAGCCAACAAGGGGTCTGAGCATCCTATCAATTAGCTCTTTCCACCAACTGTCACATGACCTTAATGGACTTTTAAAAGCATTCCATTCACTGTATGACTTAACATTTTCCCCAAAGTTTCTTTTTATAAACACTCCAAATGTCTAAAGAATGACTCAAAATGCTTTTTAAAATGCTTCAACTCTACTGCAATTCTCCAGTTATTTACAGCTCTAATCAGAACACATTTCGGAAATGTCGGGGATTTCCTTGGAAGAATGCAGCATGGTATATTGATTTGGGTGCTAGAAGAGCACTAGGAAGACTCATGTCTTAGCCCAGGCATCTTCAAACTTGGCAACTTTAAGATTTGTGGACTTCAACTCCCAGAATTCCTCAGCCAGCCATGGCTGGCTGAGGAATTCTGGGAGTTAAAGTCCACAAGTCTTAAAGTTGCCAAGTTTGAAGACCCCTGTCTTAGTCCATTCTCAGCTATTAGAGGCTCCCTGAATGACTGGATGAGAGTCCTTTTCTCTCAGCCAACTTACCTCACATGGTTGTTCTTATGGGGGAAAGGAGAGGTATGTACAATCCCTTCAGCTCCAAGATGTTTGAAATACATCCAAAAATATCTAAAATATAATAAATATCAAAGAACAATTGGGATTGTAATTTGAAAAGATGCCAACTACTTGATCTGTCTGATATTTTATATTCATTCTAAAATAGTCAAAACTAAGTCAAAGATTTAGTCTGGTTCATACTTTCAGATGATGCAATCTGAATTTGTTTCCTTCTCTAATATGTGGATCTGAACAGAGAGAAGAAACACTAGGCACCATAGCCCCATCTCTAGAGCTGGCTGTTAGAATTGCAAGGTAGTATGGAGGAATCACGTTGTATCATGTATTCCCAGTGTATCTTTCATTTTTACCATTTCTTGGCTCCTTTCCTTTCCATTCCATTTCTATTTTGACAGTGATAAGAACGGAACTGTTAGCTTCCAAAGAGGTACCAGCTTTGATAGCACTATGGCTGATCCAGCCTTCAGTAGTATAGTTATTTTTTCAGTTTATTAAGTCACTTCCCAGGAGCTAAATTCAGGCCAGATGTGAGTTATCAACAGATTGGCCAGCCTGCATAGGGAGCTGCTACTACAATAAAAACATCCATTTGAGATGCATTTGAGAATTTTCCCCTCAAGAGAACCAAATGGAGAATTCTTATTTCTCGAAGTCTAGATACAAAACACAGTATGAGAGATGCCATCTACTTAAATAGAAAATATATTAGCTTTACTTCCAAAACCTTAATTGGAGCCTACTCAAAACAGGGTGTCATTGTGTTTATATTTATTCAAGAACAGACCTTTTTAAATCTGGGAAACAACATTTTTGAATAAAGAGATTTAGCTGAATGTATATAAATCCTGCCCACAATTAGTTGCATGTAGGAGAGATAAAAAATAGTGGTACCTATTCCTCAGCTATAAGACATTTGACTAAATTATGCCTTTATATTTCCAATTAGAGTGAGAAACAACACAACTGTAATTTGGCTACATTTATCACAAACTGGATACACAATCTGAAATACCTAGTTTCTTATTGCATATTAGACTCTGAAGTTACAGAAAAGATTTTGGGCTAGCCGTTCATTAATTTATAATTTAAATTTATATGGATATCCCTATGGCTGTGTTCACATCATACACTGGACATTAGCCAACAATATTTTAGCCTGGCTTACTGTGTAGAGAGATTAATGTTTTACTTGCTTGTTTTATTTTTAGTCTATACTTAGTGGAAGACACTGCTATTGTGGCAAACATTGCCTTAATCCAGTTACTAATTCCTTGTATTAGTCCATCAAATCAACACCTTTGCAGCTTGAAAGGGAGAGTATATGTCAGAGTAGGTAGAAAAAAAGGAAGATTAAATAAATACATAAATAAATTGTGCACACAATGTTTTGAGTAAAATAACCTCCAAGTTCGTATATGGTAAAGCCAGAAAAATCCCACAATTCAAATCTGCTATTACATTTGGCAGACTTTCTTTATTAGTATAAATGAATCTGGAGTCATCAAGGACATTGGAACATTTGTTCTTTCAAACACTTAAGAAAACAGGCCTGTTCTAATGTCATTCTGCTTCACTCATGCCTCCAAGTACAGATGTTCTTAGTCTGTGATACATTCATGGTTAGTCAGCCTTTTGGATTAGAATGGTTATCCAGAGCCAGTATCCTTGCATTTCATGTAGGAAGAAAAAAAACTACAGAAGGTTTTGTTTCCTTTGCACCAGCTTGTTGATTCAAGTGGTCTTAAATGTGGGCAGTAATTATAATAAACTGTTTAGGAACGAAACATGAAACAGATGCCAGTGCATCTGATCTGTGGGATGATGATTTCCTACTATCTTCACTTGTGAACATAGGGACTACGGTACTACAAATTTTTATTGACTCCCCAATTCAATAGGAATTTTACAGAGAGAAGTATAACTGTAAAAAGAACTAAAAAAGGAAAAAAGAACTAAAAAAAGTAAAAACCAGAGACTTAAAAAAATGTAATAGTATTAACATGTTGGCAATATTATGCTAAATATTAACATGTTGGCAATATTATGCTAAATAACATAATTATTTTTGTTGATTGTGTTGCATTCTATGGCTCACTGAACAAATATTACTAAAATTATTGGGTAAGTTGTTGTTGGTATATGTTACTGTCAATGTGTGAAATTAGACATTTTATAGAATGCCTAGAAAGCTATAGAATGCCAAAAATGGGGTGTCAAAAAATAAAACGCTTAATATTACACACATTTCCTAGGTATTCTATGCAATGCCAAAAGGCAAAGCAGCAAAGTATAAAATGCCATTCTAGCCTTCCTAGTTGCAACAAGTAAGTCAGTACAGGTCTTTTTCTCTTGTTTGTTTGTTTGTTTTTTCCAGTAAGAAAGTCCTGTACTTTTTTTTTTGCATTTCTTTTTTCATTTTCATATATGTCTTTTCAATAAAGGGTTAGGGTTAGGGTAACCCTAGCCCTTTTCATGACCTTTTCATACTTTGCCTAAATAGTTCTTGTCATTCTGCATAATGCCTAGGTATTATATACAATGCCTAGGAAAAGTATATAGCATATTAAAATAACACAGACATTTCATACTTTACTTTAAAATGTCCCACATTCTATAGATTTCCTAAGCATTCTATACAATGCCAATTTTTCACACATTGCCAGTAACATTCACAAATCCAACTACAAAATACTCCCGTATAATCAATAGAACTTAATTTAGAACTTCATGAACTTTAGTCTCATTGATTCAGTAAGTCAACTCCAAGCATACATACAAGTCTGGCTCTTGTGTGTAAATAAGGTTAATAAAGAATGTATGAGAGAAATTCAAAAGTATGCATTTACAATTAAAAAAAACAGAACCAATGGCCCCATTTTTTTTAAGTTTTTACTTACTTAAATTAGTTTACTTCTGGACATTTATGCTTCAAGTGGATATGAACATGAATCAGGTGAAATAAAAATGAAAAGAGGTAGAGAGAAGGATAACAAATGGAATAATATCCAAATAAATGTTTTTACAGCTTGTATGCAGTATCTCTAAGGACTTTGAATAAGTTCTATAAATGGAACATAGCTTGCTATTAAAAAAATAAATATGCCTTGGAGAAATTATTGTTTCCCACTCTCCTAGAGAATATCATGAATACATTTGTAATGTTCTATAATGTTTATTGCTCCAGTTGAAAAACTTGTGAAAGAACTTGCTCAGGATTGCTAAACTTTGTTGTCAATCCCCATGTACTATCTCTGCAGTTCAACTTCTCAGATGTTGAGAATAAATTTTCAGTGACCTAATAAAGCAGACAACTATATTTGAATGAGCTCTGTGCACAGTGCAGTCTAAGCAAAGCACTGATTTACAACTTAAAACAGTTACAAATGACCTTTCTGCCTCAAATGAAGGACAATTGATCTTCAAGTACCATTTCTTCATTGTTTTAGGTGTAATAAAAGTAAATACAGTAAATCTTATTTTCCACTGTTCATTGCTCTTCATACATTTGCTGTCCATTATGTGGGCTAATGATTGTTCCCTCATTCTTCCCCCCCCCCCAACTACATTTTTAGTCTTCCTCTCTGATTTTCAATCTATTTCTGTTTGGTTCTCCTGATACTAACATGCTAATTATATATATTGATTTGGATCTGGTTACCTAGGGTAAAAATCTATTATGGATAGATTAAGTGGCCATTTTCTATTCATTATCTTATGAAAGATTTTGGTAAGACATAACTACTAAATGTAAAGGTAAAGGTTTCCCCTGTCTAGTCATTTCTGAGTCTACCAACCATACAATATAAAACAGGTTGCACCTTGTAAACGATAGTCACTACTTCTTAATCCTGAAAATTATGTTTACATCTAAATCTATACTTGATACTAGACAGCCCAGCCCCATTAAGTCATTGTTTCAGACATATTTCCTTAAGAAGCTGACAGGCAGCATCAGAAATTTTCCTTAGTTTCTCCCTTGTTTCTTTCCTTCTTCCCCGTTCCTCCCTCCCTTCCTCCCTCCCTCCTTCCTTCCTTCCTTCCTTTCCTCCCTCCTTTTCTCTTTCCCTCACACCCTGTCCCTTCCTTTCTCATCATTCTGACCTTATCTTCTTTACTTACTTCCTTTCTCCCTCCACAGTTGGGAAGGTGCATGGGAGTGCACAATAAATGTCATTTAGCTTGGGGAAAGTATGGGGGACATGGGTTGTGGGAATGGGAAATGGGCAGCAGAGGCCAGGAAGGGTGCATGGTGGTTCGTATCTCCCTGATCCTTCCCTCCCTCCCTTCCTTCATTTTTCTCCATCTCTCCCTTCCTTCCCCTTTCTTTCTCTTCCCTTCCCAGCAGGCAAGTAAGTGGCTGCTGGGGTAAAAGAGGGAGAAAAGGATTGCAAGAATGGCTGGGAAACTGTCACAGAGCATTCAAGGTGACATGAACATGGCAACAGCCTCTTTTGTAAACCCATTTTTCATACTTGATATTATATTTTTCATTTTGCTTCTCCCTTACATATTATTTTGCAAAGCAAATACAGACAGTACAGACACAATTCTCAGATAGGCATCAATGGTACATAAATGTTTTCTTGGATCAATTTTATTTACAGCCAAAAGGCCTAAAAGCAATTTACAAATATAATATAAACTTGGCATTGATAAAACAGTTTAATGAATAAAATATTTAATAAATATTACACAATGTTTTCTTTATTTTCTCTGTTTGCTTCTGAAAACACCGGGTGACAATTCTATTTACTGCATAAACTGGGAAGTTATCTTCACTATTAAACTATCAAGCACATAAATTTTATACTTCTAAATTGGATAGCTTTATACATTTGATTTATAAATAAACAAGCATTCCTTTTGAGATCCTATATTGACAAAAGACTTGTTAGGAAGGCTAGACAAATTTTTTTAGGATGTTGTCATAATAAACAGTGGCCAACAATAGCCAACTCCTATGATGAAAGAAAGCACAAGGATTTTGATCGTCATACTGTATAAAGGTAAAGGTTTCCCTTGTCCAGTTGTCTCTGACCCTAGGATGCAGTGCTATGATTTTCTTAACTGAGGGAGCCAGCATTGTCTGAAGACTCTTCCATGGTCATGTGGCCCGCATGATTGTACTTGGAGGCACACGGAACACTGTTACCTTCCCATCAAAGTGATACTTATTTATCTACTTGTATTTACATACTTTCAAATTGCTAGGTGAGCAGGAGCTGGGGCAAGTGGCAGGAGCTCACCCAGTGGTGGGATTTCACCCAGTTCGCACCAGTTTGGCAGAACCGGTAGCTAATTTTTTGTTGCCCAGGCCCAGAATGGACTTCCGGAAGTGGCATCCACACAGAGAACCGGTTGTTCACATATTTGAATCCCACCACTGAGCTCACCCCATTGTCCGGCATTGTCCGGGTCACAAATCCAGTCTGTCAACTTTCCAGCTGACAAGCTCAGCATCTTTAACCCTGAGCTATTGTACCCCCTTCATATTGTACACAGGTTTATAATATAGATGTAATTGTACTTTCAAATTACAGTTCATTGATAAGATGTAGAACAGACCTATTTTACCCCAGGAAAACCCCATTTAATTTAAACCTTACTAATTTGAGTGGGATTTTTCTAATTATGAATAATTCTGGATTTTACTAAATACAATGAAAACTATAAATACTCTAAAAATAATATCTTAATTTTTGCCCTTTTCTTTCTTACCATAGTAAGAAAAAGGTAAAAAGTAAGGAGAACAAAATTATACAATGAATGATATGCAAAACAAAGTGTTCCAGCTTTTAACAGCATTTCCCAGCAAACTATGCTAAGAAAATGATGGTGTTTAAGCCACGTTTAATAGGGTATATGTTTATATATGATATGATATGATATGATATGATATGATATGATATGATATGATACGGTAGGGTAGGGTAGGGTAGGGTAGAGTAGAGTAGAGTAGAGTAGAGTAGAGTAGAGTAGAGTAGAGTAGAGTAGAGTATATAGTAATAGTAATGGCATGGCATGGCATGGCATGGCATGGCATGGCATGGCATGGTATGGTAGAGTGGACAACCACTTATGTATGAGCCAGCAGTGTGCTGTAGTTGCCAAAAAAAGCCATTGCAGTCCTAGGATGCATCAACAGAGGGATAGTATGAAGATCACATCAAGTGTTAGTACTGCTTTGTACTACACTAGTGAGGCCACACTTGCAATACTGTATCCAGTAAGATGTTGAGACTCCAGAAAGGCTATGGGGAAGGGCAACAAAGATGATAGGGAGTCTAGACACTAAACATACAATGAACAATTGTGGGAGCTAACATATGTCTAGTCTAACAAGGAGAAGGACCAGGAGTGACATGATAGCACTCTTCCAATATTTGAGGGGCTGTCACAGAGAAGGAGTTCTTCTTCTTCTTCCCCAAAGCACCTGAGGACAGATCAAGAAGTAACTCGTGGAAGATTATTAAAGGGAGATCCAATCTAGAATTAAGGAGAAATTTTCTGACAGTGACAACAATTATTCAGTGAGACAGCTTGTCTGCAGAATTTATGCATGCTAGAGGTTTTTAATGGAGAGAAGAAGAGATTGGACAACCATTTGTCCAAAATAATATAGTGTTGCCTGCTTGAGCAGGGGGTTGGACTATAAGACCACCACTGGGTTCCTTTGAACCCAGTTATTCTATGATCTATTATAAATTTTAGCTCATATACCTAACTTATTTCTATGCTATGGTTTCCTCTCTACATGGCCATTGCACAATAAATAGAACGCAAATCTCACAGGAGATTTATCCAATTAATACCCTTGAATTTGCAGCCAAATCCCTGGATCTAATTAGTAGTGCCATCTGTTTCTGAAAGCCGTGTTAATGTATTACTATCTTCCTTGCAGGCTATTTTATGTGGCAGTGTTTTATATCTTAACAATTAAGTCAGCACAATGCAATACAATGCCCAGGCTTTCATTTTTGTTTTCCTTACAGAGGGGCCTTTTCAGAAGTTTTCCTGGTGAAGCACAGAACCACTGGCAAGCTTTTTGCTTTGAAGTGCATTAAAAAGTCACCAGTCACCCAGGATAGCAATCTGGATAATGAAATAGTTGTGCTGAAGAAGTAAGTATAGTTGGGAATGCATGACAGAGTTCAATGTTTCTTTCAAACTTCTTTAAGAAGGCTATAAGTTGCTTATTTTCAATCAACTGGAAGACTAAAGACTGTCTCATCTGGCAGAAGGCTTCTCAGATGAAACATCAATACTCTTTTTCTGCTTAAAATCCACTAAAACAGTGCATCTCAATCTCATCAACTTTAAGATGTGTGGACCAGCTACCAAATGAGGGCTATTGGACATGAACCGTAAATAAACTGTGCACTCAGAGGAGTATTGTACCAGAAGCTGTTTTCCAATTTAGCTTAAAAAAACCACAAAATACTCCTCTCTTTTACTATAGATAGTCCTCACTTAGCAACCACTCATTCAGCAACCTTTTGAAGTTACAATAGTGTTGAACAAGTGGAACGTGCAACCAGTTCTCGCACTTACCATTGCAGCATCCCTGTGGCCATGTGGCCAAAATTCAGATGTTCATTGACCAGCTTGCATTTCTGACCCTTTAGCATCCCATAGTCACGTGATCACCATTTGTGACTTTCCCTGCCAGCTTCCAACTAGCAAAGGTCAATCTGGAAGCCACATGAAGTCCTTGTTTAATGACCAATGTCTTCACTTAATGCCATAAAAATGCCATCACAAGTTGTCGTGGTCATCACAAGTTGTCATGGTCATGCATCTCTCAGTGATAGAGTTTCCAGTCACAATTAATGTCCTTAATCGAGGACTCAGGTTTTCATGATTCATGATTATAGCCTTGAGGAGCCTATTTTCTGGCTATAGACATCAACAATACAGATCCATTAAAAAAACACTGGATGGTGGCCTAAATTCACACTATTAGCTCATCAAGCAAACCACATCCATACTCTATCAACATCCCAATTCCAATGCCTGGGGAACAGGCAGATCTTCATAATTTTTTGAAAGACCAAGGTTAAGGCTATCTGTATTTTAGTGAGGAGACTATTCCCCAAACAGGCCCATGACAGAGAAAGTATATGCTCTAGAACCACTTGGTGATACTACTTCACTGATGAGACTCAGAGTTTGTCCACTCTGCCAAATCTAATGGGAAAGACAAAAACATCAAGGATAGGGTTCATTTTATGAATTTTAATTTTATAGTTGGAAATCGTGATTTTGATAGATCTTCAATCTGATCCTTTAAGTATATTTACGTTATTATGAATCCAGAAGAAAGAAAATGTGAGAATTTATTTTTAGAATAAAACATTTTAACAAAACTATACTAGTAAAAAATCTTACATCTTGCCGCCTTCAGAATAAGAAAGCATAAAATTTCTAAACAAGAGAAAATATGTTTTGTAATGTTCTTCTTTTTTTCTTTCCATGAATGTATGGCAAACAGTAGTGGGGGAAATGAATCTCTTGTTATTAGAAGCTGAAATATGTGTTTGTTCCTTAAATTAAAGCACCAAAGTTCAATCTGAATGAAAAACATCTGGCACAAAGGAAGGATGAATGTTAGCTTGCTTTTTAATGATCTGTTATTCTGTCAGATCCATATTGCATTCTGTTTTTGGTTGCAGAATAAAGCATAACAACATAGTAACACTTGAGGACATTTATGAAAGCACAACTCACTATTATCTGGTAATGCAGCTGTAAGTATCAACACATACATTATGTAAGAAGCAAATGTTGCACAATTCTCCCAGTCAAGAGTCAGCTGAAAACATCTGGGTCACACTAGGTTGCAGAAAGTGGCATTAAACAGTCCGGATAAAATTGTGGGAATGTTTTTGTTTTTTATGGGAGCATTGTAAACATCTCTGTTTTTATGCTTAAACGAAGAATGGCAGCCATAGAGATATAACCTAATCTAACAGTCTTTATTGTGCTATCAACACAGTCCCTCTGTGTTGTAAGTGTATAGTACTTAAGTATCATATTAAGTGTGTCAGATAAAGCCACAAAAATGTAAAATACTATTATAACAATTTAAATAAAAGGTTTCTAATGAATTAGAGCATTTTATATTGTTGATCTGATTAATTTTGCACTTGATTTCTTAGGGTTTATCATAGTCTAACAGAAAAAGTTCTAAGATGGGTTCTGCTTTCTCTTTTTCTTTCTTGAGATTCTTTTTAATGGCTTTATTCTATTTATTGTTTATTAATTCAATTTATTATTATATATTTACTGTTTGTTCTTCCTGCCCTTGACTTTAAAGCACAAGAAAAGCTCAAGCAGTTGAATATTCTCTCCCCCTCTACCTCTTCCACCCAAATAGTTCAAATTGTTCCTCCAAAATTAATTCATCAAGTGAAATCTTGGAATTTTATAATATATTCAAGCTTTTTGCAGTCTAGTTGCAATCTAACCCATCTAGCCTTGTGGTAAAGAAATAATAATTTCCTGGTTGGAGTGGTTCTAAAAATGCATTGCCTCAAATATGCAAATAAAGCCATGAAAGCAGCTTATTCTTTATGTCTATAATAGTGTGTTTAGTTGTTGTAAAAAATAAATTAAAAATGTGATTGTTAATAACAGTATGAAAAGTATTTTTATATCAAAATTACATTCTCCCTGACCCTATTTATGATCATTTTTATGACCCACAAATAACCAAAATTAGAAAACCATGTTGCAAATCTATTTCTTTCTCTGATAATTAATGACCAGGCTAAACTAATTAACCTGAGCAAATAATAGCACACGAACAAAAACCTTCATGGTACAGAGTTACCCTGGGTACACAGAGGTGGTACCAAAGCCAATACATAGGCACACATCAAAGGGGAACAGATCTACATGTTCAGCAAAGTATGAGCTGAATGTCCACCAAATTAAATATTACAGAGGGCACATTCTTTCTCTCCCCCCCCTCCCCCCTCTCTCTCATACACACACGCACCATAAAAGATTCCCAGTTTCTGCACCTTTGAGGGCTTATGCTCTCAAATAAGCCCTCAAAGGTGCAGAAACTGGGAATCTTTTATGGTGTGTGTGTGTGTGTGTGTGTGTGTGTGTGTGTGTGTGTGTGTGTGTGAGAGAGAGAGAGAGAGAGAGAGAGAGAGAGAGAGAGAGAGAGAGAGAGAGAGGCATGTCTGGATTTTATTCTGATTTGTTCTTGCACAATCCTGGCTTGGATTGGAAGCTGAAATACTTCTAACAATTTGGCAAGCCAGCCAGGAATCTGAGACTAACCTGGCCAGAGGACCCAGCCAGGGTAAGACTTCACCCAGATGACAACAGACCATCTTGTCTGGGGATGCTGTTCCCAGACTCTGCCCACATGGCACTCCCTAGTATAGGGAGTTTTGAATTTTGAACCAGACAGCTGCTTGAAGTACCTCAATTTTTTGTGTGTGTTTGTGCCCAGGGAGAGTGAGAGAGAGAGAGAGTGTGTGTGTATCCCTCTCTGCCTCTTTCCTCCCATTGCAGCTGGATCTTACTTCCAGTTTCATTCCCAGCTACAGCCAACCTCCTACAAGCCCCATCAAGATTTAGAAGAGAAACGAGAAGAACATGGTATCTAATTTGTAAAAAGGGATGGCCAATAGTGAATATTAAGAATTATGCAACATAACATCCGTGAGTGGGAGGATTTCTACACAGCAGACAGATGGATCCTAAACAAAAGTAGCATGCCTCATTTCACTCACATTCAAAAGAGGAAAGAATTAATGAGAAAATATCTAACTTTTGTATGCTGAGCATTTAAAACGGAAAATAGGCTTGCTTGTCAGAAAAAACCAGACTGAATTGGAAGAAAATTCATGAAATGAAGATATTTCCTGCTAATTATATGCTAGTAAATTACATCAGGCAAGAAGGAATTTCTTTATATGCCAGATTTAATGAAAACAGAACCTAATCATTTGGAGACAGGCACAAGCATTGCCTGGTCTAAGGCTTAACTGTGTTTAATCTGTCTTGTCCTGTATTGTAAGCAATCCATTTTTCTTTGCAGATCCAAGTGTGATACAGACCCAAAGGGCAGCACTTGCAGTTTATTTCTAGCTGAGGCCTTAAATTGCTTAGTAGTGAAATTGAGAATTAAAATTAAATGTGTTTATTTGTGCTATGATTTCATATGTAAATTGGGCATTATTGCTTGCACTGAAGCTTTACAGCAATATTTTTTCCGACCTGAGAATTAGAAATGGCCCAGCAACAGGTTCTACTTCAACAGATTATTTGTCTGGGTTTATAATTCATATTACAAACAAAGCAAGTAAGAGGTAAAAAACTTCCCAGTGTTACCAGTAAATAAACCTATTTGGCATGACACGATATATCAGTGGTGGCGAACCCATGGCACGGGTGCCAGAGGCGGCACTCAGAGCCCTCTCTGTGGGCACGCGTGCCATCACCCCAGTCCTCGGCCTTCAGCTGGGTTTTATAAAACCTTTTCGCTTTAGGCCTCCGCCGCCATGTGCAAAAAACCCCCACGGTTCAATTAATCAGTCAATTTCAACTTCTCGCAGGAAAAAAAAGATCTTGCAAAGTTGGAATTGATTGATTGAACTTTTTAGTCCCACCCAGTCTGGCATTACCACCGCAGCCATGCCCACCCAATGGGTCACACCCACCCAATGGGCCACACCCACCCAGCACCCAACGATGCCTAAGTGGGTTTGGGGTTGCAGTTTGGGCACTCGGTCTCTAAAAGATTCGCCATCACTGCGATATATAAACACCAGTGGTAGGATTCAAATATGTGAACAACCAGTTCTCTGTGGGGACGCTGCTTCCAGAAGTCCATTCTGGGCCTGGGCAGAATCCCACCACTGATTATCACAGAATATGGAATAGAGAGAAGTTAAACCAATAAGATTCTCTCTACATCAGCATGTAATACAAACTGAATTTTCTTGCACAGAGTGTCTGGAGGAGAATTATTTGACCGTATTTTAGAACGAGGTGTTTACACTGAAAAGGATGCTAGTATTGTAATTCAGCAAGTCCTGGGAGCAGTGCATTATCTTCATGAAAATGGGATAGTCCATCGAGATCTAAAGGTATTTTTCTTTAATGATCTATATTTAATTATCGGTGTATTTTTACTTATAAGTCATGCAAGTATCCATGAATTTGCAGTGATTTTTTAAAAATTACACCTGCCTCCTAATACGCAGAGTTGGGAAGAATATTGGCCTTAGAATACTGTGTCTTATATTATTCTTTTCAAAAAAAAATACATTTATTGCACTTTCTATTCCCCAACTTTAGACCAACTATATGCACAACAAATTAAAATTGCATACTCTGGTCTTGGTATGTCTAGATTCATTACAGCAATCTTATCTGCCAAAGAAGATTGCAAGTAATCCTCAATTTATGGCAATTGACTCCAACATTGCCATTGCTAAGCAAGACATTGTTAAGTGAGTTTTTCCCCATTTTACAACCTTTCCTGCCACAATTATTAAATGAATCACTACTGTTAAGTGAATCTGGAGTCCCCATTGACTTTGCTTGTCAGAAGGTTGCAAAATGTGATCACGTGATCCTGGAACACTGCAACCTTCATAAATAGATGTCAGGTATTAAGCACCCAAATTTTGATCCCATGAGTGCAACTGTCCTAAGTATGGGAAATGGCCATAAATCACTTTTTTTCAGTGCCATTGTAACTTTGAATAGTCACTAAAATAATGGTTATAAGTCAAGGACTACCTATATTCAGATACTGAATGTCAGATAATTAATTTTTACCTCCTTACCATAGCCTGAAAATTTGCTCTATCTAACTCCAGAAGAGGACTCCAAAATTATGATAACAGATTTTGGTTTGTCTAAGATGGAACAGAATGGCATCATGTCTACAGCATGTGGAACTCCAGGATATGTTGGTAAATAAGAAAATGAAAATAATCTTTAAATTATAGTTTATTAAAAATTATAATTCACAACAATTTGTTGTGAACTAAAACCAACTAAAAAATAAAAGAATAAAAAGAAAAATAGAAAGTGCAGAAAAGAAAAAAAAAGTGTTCCAATATCTCAGAGGCTGCCACAAAGAAGAGGGAGTCAAGCTATTTTCCAAGGCGCTTGAAGGCAGGACAAGGAGCAACGGATGGAAACTAATCAAGGAGAGAAGCAACCTAGAACTAAGGAGAAACTTCCTGACAGTTAGAACAATTAACCAGTGGAACAACCTGCCTCCAGAAGCAGTGAATGCTCCAACACTGGAAGTTTTTAAGAAGAAATTGGACAGCCATTTGTCCGAAATGGTATAGGGTTTCCTGCCTGAGCAGGAGGTTGGACTAGATGACCTCCAGGGTCCCTTCCAACTTTATTATTATTATTATTATTATTATTATTATTATTATTATTATTATTATTATTATTATTATTATTATTATTATTATTATTATTATTATTATTAAGAAGGAATGAAAAATAGAAAAGAAAGAAAAAAGTAAGAATATAGTAAGGAAAAAGAAAAGAAATATATTCAGAAGGGATTCCCCTCTTCATCATAAGTATGAACAATTTTATTAATTTATCATCTTTTTAAATAATACAACAAATGATCTTTTCTTCCCATATTTCATCTCTTATTTATAAATAAATGTATCAAGTCTTATCATTTCATTCCTGATGTTAGCAAAGGCCCATTAGAGGTTATGAGAAATAACAAGACCTATTTTAACTTTGTTTAAATAAATCAACTTTCTGTTTCTTCCTTTTTCTTTGAACAGCCTTGATCTTTAATCCCTTTAAATAATGCTCTAGAATTTATTTGTATATCCTTTTTAATTATTAAGACATCAGCCAGTTTTTCTTTTAATAAAAAGTCTTTTCCCATGTCATTTTTAAATCCATTTTTAAATCAGTTTTAATCATATCAGGGTAACGCTTGTTCCTATTCCGTAGCATCTTTTAAATGTAATGCATCTACTTATATTTTTTTAAGAATTCAGGACAAAATATTTTTTTTTCCATGGGAAGGTTTCTTTATAATTAATTCCAAAACCTTACTTCAAATTTATCTGGACCTTTAGTTTGTTTCTAAAATCAAAGTTCTGTTATTTATTCCAGAGAAAAAAATAAAATACTCAAATGTGTATTTAAGTGCACCTTTTGCTAAGGTTTGAAGGAAACTTATCTGATGCTGTAAAAAAAACTTTTATTAGAAAATTAAGTCTCTAATAGTGAAAAGCAGTTAACGAGCAATTTCTGAAAGTGATTAGAAAAAAAAATGTGTAATCCCAGTGTCCTTTTAAAGGCGCTGAATGTGGTTTGAGCAAGATTACTATTTCCTCATCTCCTAGAACTCTAAATGCACTAGAGGCTGTTCCTTTGCAGTCTCCTTGTCGGAGCAGCTCTTTGGTGCACTTGTGGGCTACCTCAAGTCCTCTCCTTTGCCAGAATCCCATTGTATGCAACTGTATATGAACATGGAATTCTCTAAGTGATTGGGACAGATTATGAAAGAAATACTTATATTCCTTCTTCATATACAATTGTAGATGTAAGGTCTGTTGCAAGCATAGTAACTAATACTTAGAACCTAAACATAAGTGATCTGAAAACCACTCACTCCATATGTTTAGACAATATTTGAAAGATCTATTGAAACCCATTGATTAAATTCTGCTTTATATAAATATGCATAAATTGCAGTCTTTATTCACAGAATCGAAACTATGCTATGGAGTATTGATTAATATAAAACCTTCTCAGGATTTATAAGAGGTACAAATATATACTGTGTAAGGCTATGTCAATATATTACAACTTGAACAAATATCACATTGCCCTACATTCCACAGCTAATCTGTGATATATATGTGTGTATCCTATATTATCCTCCTCAGCCTTCCAGAATAAATAACTTGTGTCATTGCTTATGTCAAGCATGCTATTTTTCTTTGTTTTGTGCCCTGCTACACTGAAAGAATTCTTGAGCTAATATAGGGTTGGTTAATTTTTCAAAGATCAGTTGGTCATATTACCGGTAATTTGGGTTTTGTTGTTTGTTCACTGCAGCTCCAGAAGTATTAGAACAAAAGCCATACAGTAAAGCTGTGGATTGCTGGTCAATTGGAGTTATTACCTACATCCTGTAAGATAATCTGTGAACTGAATTACAGCAAACTTGCTAATGTTCTTCAAACGTTTTATGTAGTCCATAGAAAAGATATATTAACAGCATGCTAAACCCAGATAAAAAGTAGAAAGCATTAACCAGTAGTGGCCTATTAAGAGCCAAAAGAAAACAATGATAATTCTTCACTGTATTTTAATATGCTTGGTTGCATATTTTTGTATCAAGTTTTATAAAGTTTATGGTCTCTTAGGGGTGATAGGAAGAGAGAGACACCTTTTCTACCTGCAGTTGACTCACCAGTTTTGGCCATTTCTGGATGGGGAATTGTCCAGGCAGAGCAATCCATGTGCTGGTAACCTCAAAGATGAATTATTACAGGCTAGTCTTATTAGGTCTATCTTTAAATCTGTACCTGCTGTAAAATGGTGGTTACTACAGTGGTGGTTGTTTCTATACCAAGTCAGAATCTACCATAATTTTTGATAATGTTTAGAAGCTAGATTGCTATTAGAGCATCTTCTGCCTTATGTGATGTCTTGGAATTAATTTAGTGTTGATACTACAACCTGAGAGAAGGTATTCTTGGCATATATATTACAACAATGGAATTCTGCATCCTATCCCCACTTCCCCAGGTTCAGTGTTTAGCCCTGAAAATTTTCAGTACAAACTGAAGACCTATCTACTGTACATGTTCAGGTCTTTGGTTAATACTGTGTTGTTGTGGTTCCTATTTGTCATAATTTTTCTGGTTGATGCACCCTATGATGATTTTTTAAAAACTGGTTTCAAATATAGGAATTTTGGAAGGTTTCCTTCTATGAAAAATTTCTATTATAAGTTCCTCCTTCACTATTAACTAGATGAACCTGTTTATTTATAATTCATTTTTTCCTTCCTAGCTTTTTTCCACACGTGTAGAGTCTGCTTTTTTTTCTGGATCAACCAAGTGTTGATCCATTAGTTACAACTGGAATTGAATGACTAGCTTGATTGCCGAGCCTGACATTATGGGGCTGAGAGAGAGTGGCTGGCCCAAATTCACCCAAGCTGGCTTTCATGCCTAAGGCTGGATTAGAACTCAGGGTTTCCTGGTTTTTAGCCTGATACCTTAACCACTAGACCAAACTCACTCTTCCATTTATAATCCAATATATTATAAATATTTATAGATGGATGGGGGTGGGGGAGAAACACAAACAGACTAATCTATCCTTGGCCTATTTATTTCTTTGTTTTGTTTATGTCTGGATAGTGACAGAACTCAAATAACCTTGTAAGAGAATTATGCAATCTAAGAAACTGTCATAGGCAATGCATCAGGAATATGCACCGATGCCTGCAATAAACTTTGTTAATTTGATGAACTAATCAAGTTAACTGATTATAGCAGCTGCACCAACATGAAATTTGAACAGAAAGGGCCTGGAAGGAAAGTTCAAGAACACTGGCTGGGGTTCGTTCTTTCTTTCTTTCTTTCTTTCTTTCTTTTTTCTTTCTTTCTTTCTTTCTTTCTTTCTTTCTTTCTTTCTCTTTCTTTCTTTCTTTCTATCTTTCTTTCTTTTTCTTTCACAAGGATGTCAGCTTTCCCTGGCTGAGAGTTTTCACCTCATCATTGACTAAAACTCCCATCAATTCCGCCTAGATGAGAATAACCCATTAAAGCTTGAAGGCATTAGTTTGAAGATATCTGTTCCAAGGATTTACTCTAATTTATGATGAACACTGAATTTGGCTTTATACTAAGGTGCCATCTTTATACATGTTATTCAAAAGCCAATCTTCTCTCTTCTCTGGATCATAATTATGTTTGGGTAGCAACTTGCCTGTTTCACTGGCAATTGGCATCCAATATGATCTCCTGGAACCTTTCATCCTCTTTTATAATTTTGGACTAGAGCTACAATGGGCTATGTATAGTTCACAATTGCCCTATATTAGATATCTATCAAATGATCAATCAATCAATCAATCAGAGTAGAGCTGGAAAGAACCTTGGAGGTCTTCAGTCTTTTGAATTTACACAATTTTGAATTTACACTCAAAAATTCAATCTTTTTGAATTTACACAGGAAAGGAATAATAAATGTCTTTTGTCTTTTTCTCTCTCTTTTCCAATTTAATTTAGCCTATGTGGATACCCTCCTTTCTATGAAGAAACAGAGTCCAAATTGTTTGAGAAAATCAAAGAAGGATACTTCGAATTTGACTCTCCATTTTGGGATGATATCTCTGAATCAGGTATTTTTAAGCCTGGGAAAATCTCTGCTAGAATTGTCTTTCATTTATGAATTCCTACACAGATGAGTACCTAATTAGGCAACTATTCAGTAGTCAAGAGCTTTTTTTTAAAAGTATGTGTTCACTGGTTTGGGGAAACTGCTCTGCCATGTTTTTGATAGATGTGTATGCACATGTCTGAGCGGGGGACAAAAGCTGTTGCAAGCATGTGCAAGATGTTCTGTGAAGCTATATCCCATTGAAGCATTTGAAGGTGCAGATGTTCTTTCAGAACCTGAAGCACAATTAATCATGTTGATTATTAGATGCCTCCTTGTTTCTAATGCTTGAATAATTGCAAATGAATTGATACAATGAATCATAAGCATGCCTTCTTTTTAGAGGAAACAGTTTGGTAAAGAAGATTCTAATAATGTACACCTGTTTTGGAACTCATTGTCATTTTTTTATATTGGCTAGAGGTGCATGTCATCAGTTTGATCCCTATTACTCAAACCTAATGTTCTGGCAGATTGATTTTGGCTTCTGGCTTTTGTGCTAAAGCCTCTTTCTCTGTTTCCTTCTCTTTTCATTCCTTTTAAACAGCCAAAGATTTCATTTCTCATTTACTCGAGAAGGATCCAAATAAGAGATTTACCTGTGAGAAAGCCCTCAGGCATCCCTGGTGAGATGAATAATATTATTGCATTTTTTTTTTTAAAAAAAAGTGCAATTCTGTGATATAGTAAGAAATTTTATAATTGTATTCACATGGAATTAGCAGTGGATCATAAAATATAATTGACTTCTCTAATATTTTTGTTTGGATTAACTAGTATGGAGGACAATGTGGACAGGAAGCTATTATATACCTTAGATCAGGGGTGTCAAATTGCCAGCCTGTGGGCCGGATGTGTCACACAGAAGCTGCACCCACCCCAGCTCTGGCAATGAGAAAAAAAATTGTGATACACTGCAACATGTCACATGACATGGCGAGTTTGACACCCCTGCCTTAGACTTTAGGGGTCTTTGATTTCAAAAGCGCTGATTTCAACAAACTTAGAGAGAGCTTGGGAAGGATTCCATGGATGAAAATATTAAAGGGGAAAACAACTCAAGAAACTTGGGAAACTCTGAAAATGTGATTATAAAAGCCCAGTCCAGCACAATACCACAGAAAAAGAAAAATAAGAAATCCAAGAAGAAACCAGCATAAAGAACTCTCTGATAAACTGAAAGGCAAAAAGAACAAAGCTAAAGCTCAGAATTAACTAAGACTTGCAACAAATAGAAAAAACAATTAAAAGTTTTTTCAACATGTAAAAAACAAGAAAAAGTTAAAGAAACAATCAGTCCACTAATGGGAGAAGATGGCAAAAAAGGGACAGGCAGCAGGGAGAAAGCAGAGTTACTTAATTGATTCTTTACAACTGTCTTCACACAAAATGAAAAAATAACCCAACCTACCAAAAGCAGAACCATAAAAGACAGACTAGGAATTCAAATTAAATTAGGCTAGAAAATCGTAAGACAACGTCTATTCATCCTAGACAGGTTCAAATCACCAAGACCAGATGGATTTACACCCCAGAGTTCTGAAGGAGGTGGCAGAAGTGATCTCAGAACCATTGAACCATCTCTTTAAAAAATCCTGAAGCAATGGAGAACTACCAGAGGACTGGAAAAGAGCTAATATGATTCCCATCTTCAAAAAGGGGGGAAATGGACCAATCAGCCTGACATCTATACCTGGGAAGATCCTGAAAAAGATAATCAAGCAATAGATCTGTGAATACCTAGAAGCAAGCAAAGTCATAACCAGAAGCCAACATGGGTTTGTCAAAAACAGATCATGCCAAACAAATTATATTGCATCCTTTGACAAAGTAACTAAATTAGTGGACCAGCAAAATGCCATAGACATAGTAAACTTGGATTTTAGTAAGGCATTTGACAAAGTAGATCACAACCTACTTCTTGGTAAGTTAGAAAAAAGTGGGATAGATAGTATCACTACTAGATGGATTGATAATGGGCTGACAAACTTCACTCAACATGTAATCCTCAATGGAATAACATTTACATGGAGGGAAGTATGCAGTGAGGTATCCCAAGGTTTTGTCTTTGCCCCAGTATTTTTCAAAATCTTCATAAATGATTTAGATGAGGGATAGAAGGGGAACTCATCAAATTTGCAAATGACACAAGCTGGCAGAAATAGCCAACACTCCAGAAGACAGACTCAAGATGCAAAAGGATCTTGACAAACTTGAACATTGGATTCTAGCTAACAAAATGAAATTCAATGGTGACAAAAGTAAGGTTTTACACTTAGGCAAGAAAAATGAAATGCACAGGTATAGAGTAGGTGGTACCTGGTTAAACAGCAGTAACTGCAAGAGGATCTAGGAATCCTAGTGGACAATCACTTAAATATGAACCAGCAGTGTGCTACAGCCACCTAAAACTCCAATGCAGTCCTAGGCTGCATTAACAGAGGGATAGAATCAAGATCATGTGAAGTGTTAATACCACTTTATAATGCCTTAATAAGATTGTACTTGGAATATTGCATCCAGTTTTGGTTGCCACAATATAAAAAATATGTTGAGACTCTAGAAAATTAGGGGGCTGGAGGTTAAAACATATGAAGAATGGTTGCAGGAGTTGGATATGTTTAGTCCAATGAAAAGAAGAACTAGGGATGACATGATAGCAGTGTTCTAATATCTTAAGGTCTGCCATAAAGAAGAGGGGGTCAAGCTATTCTCCAAAGCACCTAAAGACAGGACAAGAAGCAATGGATGGAAACTTATCAAGGACAAAATCAACCTAAAACTAAGAAGAAATTTCCTGACTATAAGAACAATTAACCAATAGAACGGCTTGCCTCCAGAAGCAGAATGGTGGCTGCTCCATTACTGAGGATTTTTAAGAAGAGATTGGACAGCCATTTGTTGAAATGGTATAAGGTCTCCTGATTGAGCAAGGGTTGAACTAGAAGACGTCCAAGGTCCCTTACAACTCTGTTATTCTGTTATATGCCTTTACTAAAATTACATGTAAGCGATGACATAGCACTAAGTGATGATTCCCTACTCATTCTGGACAGCCATAATAATTCAATTAATTACTGTATATTTTATTAGATAGTAAATAGAACTTCTGGATGTTATGATAGATCTTTTCAGTCTTAGCAAGATGAATAATATGACAGACTTCACTCATGACTGAAAAGATAAGTGAAATAGAAAGTAGAAAGAAAAATGGGCTTTGGTATGTTCTGAGTCACCAAAGGGTAGTCACAGAAAAAGAACATTCTACACAAAGCTGAGAAGGAGATCCATTAGGTTTAATATTAAATAACATAGGCAATAACCATATAATACATATAAGTAAGTTTTCTTCAAAAAGCAAAAACTTTGAAAATAAACTTGCATCTGGCATAGTAACTGTCCTTGGAACTGTGCAAAGCTTCAGAGGGGTGGCCACTTTAGTAATGCTTTGAATGTTGCAGTTTTACAAAGTAGAACAGTCTACTCCAAGGATCTTCAAACTTGGCCCTTTTATGACTTGTGGGCTTCATCTCCCAGAATTCTTCAGCCAGCATGCCTGGCTGAGGAATTCTGGGAGTTGAAGTCCACAAGTCATAAAAGGGCCAAGTTTGAAGACCCTCTGGTCTACTCTAACAGCAAAATACTTATTTTGCTTTGCCTTACTTTTGAGCTTTCCCTACCTCCCAATAATGCATGCGAAAATCTCTGCTGATTCCTGGAACTGCAGGGGAAGACTTCAAGGTGATATTAATCACCTTATCAACCCAGTTGTCTCTGCAGTGCAGTTAAAACTATGTTCCCTTTGCAGTACCTTGTTGAGACAAACCCAAACCACTCATACACAGAAAGACATCAGCTAGAAGTTACAAGAATGCAAAATGTATCAGTCAAAAACACCATCTGTCTACAGGCCTGTTCTCCTCTTACTTAATTTGCAGGATTGATGGAAACACAGCCCTCCACTGTGACATATATCCATCTGTCAGTGTACAGATCCAAAAGAATTTTGCAAAAAGCAAATGGAAGGTAAGTAACTTGATGTTGTTTTATGCTCTGGTGGTCTTCTACCAGGAGCATGGAGATAAAATTCCCATTAGAACTTCTCAGTCCAAAAGTCCCATAAAATAATACTACCCAGGTAGCTAAGGGTTTCATACATTTTTGGGTGAGTCATATGGTACAAAGTATAAAATGAATTTCATCAGCAAATGCAGAAATACAGAAATATTTGGCAACTTGTTATATAAAGGGTTATCTGAAGGGTTATATAAGGGGGCTAAAAGTTAAAGCTGACAGCCCTGGGTTCAAGACCTAAGCACCTAGCAATGGAGTGAGGTCCAGTTCCTTGCCCCAGGTCTTACCCACCTTGCAGTATTAAAACATGCAAATAGGTAATGGGTATCATTTTGGTGGGAAGATAACAGCATTCTGTGCACCTTTGCCATATAGCCTTGCTGGCCATATGACCATAGAAAATGTCATCAGACAATGCTGGGGTCCTTCAGCCAAGAAACAAATATGAACACTTACCCTCCTAGAGTCAGACATGACTGGACAAAGGAAACCTTTACCTTTTATATAAAAGGTAGTAAATACAAAGGGCTGCCATCAATTTCAAAAGACCCATTTCCCTTGAAAAAATTATGATATCTTCATTACAAAATTCAGACTGCAGAAATGGGTGGATGGAGGACCCGTGGATGCTTGTTTCTTTTCTCCTTTTTTAGTTTTTTCTTTTTTTAGGGATGGGGGTTCTTATTACATATTATTTCTTTAACATATTGTGAGTTACCCAGAGTCTTTTGGATTTGGATAGCTTCATACAGATGATTGATAAAGATGATAGATATAAATAAGTTTTAGATCACTTACTAGGAAGCAAGCTCTATTGAACATAGGATCGTTTGCTTTCAGACAATTTTACATAGAATTGCACTGTATGTATTCCAAGTTCTTTGGTAAATTTTTGTTGCAGGGGCAGACAAATATTTTGTAACTGAGCTTGCAAGTTTTTAAACATTTATTTCAACTGCCATGGGCCTCAGGGAGCATTGTGATGTCATGATGACATCAACAGATTCCATAGAACATTTTTAAGCTCATTTTTTCCTCTTGAGAATAGTGAAAAATCTGATTTTAGCTGTGCCATGTCAGAGTAGATTCCAAATTCCTGTCCAGACACTCTTCCACAAGAGGTGTAACAACAATAAAATATAGATCTGAATTACCATACATTGGTCAAATTTCAAAACTCTCTAAATGGTCAGACAGAAAAAAGTATAGAGCTGCTTATAGTTTGTGTTCCATGATTTGTCTACCTTTGTTTGATTGTACATGGTTCTCAAGCTGTTCATACCATATTCAGATAAATATAGCATCAGCTAAGTTTCCTCCTTACTTTTTATCTATGGTGCATGGAATACTAGTGAGATCATAAGAATTTGAGGCCTGCTTCCAATATCTCCCTAAGTAAATTTTCAGCATCAGCTTATGAACATACTCAGTATTCTTCAGTCTGATTTTTTTTAAAGAACTACAGTTATATAATTCTCTTAAAGCTGATCATCTTCTCCTTTACTAGCAAGCCTTCAATGCTGCAGCTGTGGTCCATCATATGAAGAAACTACACATGAATGGTCATCATGCAGAGGACAATGTCAAAAGCCAAGTACAAGTACAAATTACATCAAGGCCTAAGACATCATCTGTTACTTACAAGGAACAATCAAGTCAAGACACCAAGAATTTGATCCCTGTATTATCCTATCAGAATACTTCAGATCTTGCTGGCTTGCATGCCAAGAAGACAGAAAGCAAATATTTAGATAACCTGGGGACCACATCAGTTCATATGACTTCTGTAACTGCAATAGACAGCCAGAGCCATCCAAGCAGAACTTCAGCTAGCAGTACTCCAGAATGTGGGACACGTGAGAAAGTGAAAACAACTTTTTGCTCAGAAGCAGTACTCATAAAAAGGGATGCCAAGACACAGTAAGTGTCCTTTGGGATGACCAGACTAAAATTTCTGATTACCAGGTAGAGATTTCAGTAGCTTTCCCAATCTGCTATTTCTAGTTGTTGGCTACACTATCTAGATATTATATTAATTGGGGGTGTCAGTGTATTTGAACATTTGGCAAACATTTGAAAAAGTTGGTGTAAGTAATGTGGTATCTTGTCACAGGAAAGGAGGAGATGAAAAGCAAAAATTGAGGAATATGGATGGTTCAGAAATATGAAATAGATAGATGATAGATAGATAGATAGATAGATAGATAGATAGATAGATAGATAGATAGATAGATAGATAGA